TTTGCATGGGCCCATGTGAAACCCCTGCTGGTTTCATATGAACATAAATGAACTGTGCAACCAGACAAGCCACATGGCTTCAATGCATGCCTGCTCTGGCAAAAGCTAGGGTCTGACTCCCTGCATGACCTATAAAATAGCACAGGGGGTGACGCATGCGGGTTTTGGGGGTGGCAAATGCGGGTTAGCAAAAGCCAGGGTCTATAAAATGACAGGGCCTGACCCCCTGCATACACCATAAAACAGGGCCACTGCTGAGGCCACTGCAGGTGTTCCCTGCTGGCATTATGCTGCTCTAAGTTTTTCCTTGGGCTTGCTTTGCTTCTGAAGTGCCTCGGGCTTCTGTTTGCATGAGCCTATGTGAGTTCCCAGTTGGTTCCATATGACGGGTGCAAGCAGACAAGCCACATGGATTGCTTCAACGCATGCAGCAGCTTAGTTTCCAAAAGTGAGGCTTTGCGAGAGCCAAACACCAAGGCCCCTGGTATTCGCTTTTCCTTCAATGTGCCCTCTGCTGATGGCCGGGGTCTGTGAATAGGGATATTTTCGCGAAAGTTATGCGAAGGAGTGGGCGAAAGTCAAAGTGCATGTTGAAGGGGGCGGGCCAGTAAACATTGCCAAAAAACATAGTCAGCAACAAACTGTCCTAAGAAGGGATTCCGTGATGCTAGCTGCATGTTTAAAAGGCTATCAAGAAGTGATCCGTGACGTACACCTGGATGTGTCAAAGCACGTAAGCTTACAAAGAGAACACTTAAACAAACATGATCAAACATACACATGGTTTGAAAGTTATCTTACTGCAAAAACGATCAGGTCTAGGAAAAAACATCAACAATCAACATATTTCTTCCACACACATGTTTTCTATAAAATGACAGGGCTTGACCCCCCCAAAAGGTTTGCATAAGATGAAAGCAAATAAATTATCTATAAAATGGCAGGGCTATACCCCCCCAAAACCATAACATAAAACGTTTTATGGAGGGGGTTGACCCCTGCCATTTTATAGAGGAAAAAGTAACATCTATGTGGTGTGCTTTGTACATTTTGACTTGGAAATATGCTTCGCGCCACAACGGCGTGCAATTTTTCATCTCTCATCTGGCCAGCTGGCTCCGCACCCACCGCTTTAGCGAGCCTACTTTTCGACCCTCCGGAGCCACAAATCATTGGAAAAACACGATGTTTCGCGACTTTCCTACCTTTTCGCGCATCTGCATCTTCTTTCTTCTGACTCTTTCTCTTCTACTCTTCTCTCTTCTAATCTTTCTCTTCTCCCTGACCCTTTCCATCTCTGCTTTTCATCTGTCCATATTGTCGGAAGTTTGCCTTCTAAACTTCCTTCGAAAAATAAAGTCAAATGAAGCCAACGGTCGAAAGCCAAAAATCATATAAAATCAAAGCCAAAAGCCAAGCAAAACCAAAGCCAAAAGCCAATAACATCCAATAAAAGGCAACAAAAACCAAAAGCCAAGAGTCAGAGTCAAATAAAGCGAAAGCCAAAAAACAAGTGTCAAAAATTAAATAGGCAAGCAAATAGGATATTCTAGCATATTCTAGCTCCAAAATGCAGTAATTAGCACGCAAATGAAAGATTTTAGCTTCAAAATGCAGCAAATAGCAAGGAAAGCTGCCCCAGGTTAAAGAACAACAAAAATACAATCCTTTTAGACTACAACTTCCAATTTAGGAAGGAAGGAACGAATCAAGGATCGCCAAATTCTTCTAAAAATGGGCATATTGCATATGCTATGCAATCGCCGATCGCTAAAAAGTAAAACCTTATCTCGGCAAGGTCATATTCGTATAATCCATTACCAGTAGTACCGCACAAGGCGGTGGCGGTTCAAAAATAGGAACCCCATAGGAGCGGTTGGTTGTTGTGAATCACGGATGGCAGAGCGAATCCACTGATGGACCGAAAGGTGGCTGAGGTCTCCTCTCTTTCTCTCTCTTTCTCTCTCTTTCTCTCTCTTTCTCTGACTATCTACCTACCTGCCTACCTGTCTATCTATCTATCTATCGATCTATCTATCGATCGATCTATCTATCTATCTATCTCTCTATCTATCTCTCTCTCTATCTATCTATCTATCTATCTATCTGTCTATGTATCTATCTATCTATCTATCTATCTATCTATCTATCTATCTATCTATCTATCTATCTATCTATCTATCTATCTATCTATCTATCTATCTATCTATCTATCTATCTATCTATCTGTCTCTCTCTCTCTTTTCTAATGACTAATGACCTATCTATCTAATCAATCTATCAATCTATCAATCTATCTATCCATCCATCCATCCATCTATCTATCTTTCTCTCTGTCTCTCTAACTATCTCTCTGTCTATCTATCTGTCTATCTATCTATCGATCTATCTATCTATCTATCTGTCTATCTGTCTATCTCTCTGTCTATCTCTCTGTCTATCTATCTATCGATCTATCTATCTATCGATCTATCTGTCTATCTACCTATCGATCGATCGATCGAATCGATCTATCGATCTACCGATCTATCGATCTATCTATCGATCTATCGAATCTATCGAATCTATCAATCTATCAATCTATCAATCTATCTATCTATCTATCTATCTATGTATCCATCCATCCATCCATCCATCCATCCATCTCTCTCTTTCTCTCTCTTTCTCTCTCTTTCTCTCTCTTTCTCTCTCTTTCTCTCTCTTTCTCTCTCTTTCTCTCTCTTTCTCTCTCTGTCTCTCTCTGTCTCTCTCTGTCTCTCTCTCTCTCTCTATCTGCAAGCGTGAAAACGAGGAAATTCTGCGAGACTTCCTCAGTTTTGGAACTTGACAACATCAAAAACGCAGCAATTCTGCGAGATTTCCTCAATTTCTGAACTTAACAACATCAAAAACAAAGCAATTCTGCGAGACTTCTTCATTTTTCACACTTGACAACATCAAAAACGAAGCAATTCTGCGAGACTGCCTTCAAAAATGGAAAGTTGACTGCAGAGCTGACGGCCTCGTGCCAATGCGTTTTGTGATTTTTCCAGTTCACCTGTCTAAAGTACTGCGCCTGCCACGAACAAGTGATGCCAGGTCATACGAAATGCTGCACCTGTCACGCAAAATCATCTTAGCAAACCTACAGATCTGATGCTCCAAAATGCAACCCATCTCAGGAAATCAGCGCCCTGACCTCCTAACATCTCTGATGAACACGTCTCTTGTACTGCGCCTGCCACGCGAAATGCATCTTTGCAGATCCTCTTCAAATGTCCCATGCCTGCCATCATTTTTGGAAATGCTACAATCTACAAAACCCTCACGTTTTGCTCACTTTTGACAAGGTGCACAATCCCTTGCGCCTGCCACGCGAAACGACATCTGAACGTCCAAAAGTGGTCCGAGCATGGTGTGTTTTGTACATTTTGACTTCGAAATGTGCTTCGCGCCACAACGGCGTGCACTTTTTCGACATCTCAACTTCCAAAAGTGGTCCGAACATGTGGTGTTTTGTATATTTTGACTTGGAAATGTGCTTCGCGCCACAACGGCGTGCACTTTCTCGACATCTCTTCCAAATGTGCTCCGAACATGTGGTGCTTTGTACATTTTGACTTCGAAATGTGCTTTGCGCCACAACGGCGTCCACTTTTTCGGCATCTCAACTTCCAAAAGTGCTCCGGAGCTGAGGTGTTTTGTGCATTTTGACTTGGAAATGTGCTTCGCGCCACAACGGCGTGCAACTTTTCATTTCTCATCTCCCCAGATGTCTCCGCACCCGCCGCTTTAGCGAGCCTACTTTTTCGACCCTCCGGAGCCACAAAACATCGAACAAACACAGTGTTTCGCGACTTTCCTACCTTTTCGCACACCTGCATCTTCTTTCTTCTGATCTTTTCTCCCCTCTGACTCTGCTCCCGTCTGGCTCTTCGCACCTCTGCTTTTTCATCTGTCCATATTGTCGGAAGTTTGACTTCTAAACTTCCTTCGATAATACTCCTAATTATTTATATCCCTCTTATGCGCCAGTTTTAGGTGCAAAATGAAAGCAAACCTTTGTATGAGGCACATATTTAATACGCATGAAGCTTAAGCGTGCTGCTTGTGGATGCAAGTTAAACTTGAGGGCAAGGGGTAAGGGACGAAAGCTAGCTTGGCAGGGACAAGATCATAACAACTGAGTCAGGAAAATTCAAAGGTCCACCTTCGGCACCGGAGTGGACCTTTGGAAGCACGGGCACGCAATGCGAGGCGACAATTTACGACGACAGGTAGATGTGCACGCAACATGAAAATGGAGCAAGGCCAAGGTTCCATACAGCGTCATGTGCGAAAAGGACAAAGTTGTGAGGGTCAAACGTGAAGTGTAAAGTGTAAAGTGCGAAAGCGTAAAGTGAGTGTCACGTGTAAAGTAGGTGTGGAGTGCTAAATGTACAATGTGGGGTAAAGTGTGGACTGCGGAGTGCGATAAAGTGTGAAGCGTAAAGTTTAGAGTGTAAAGTATGGAGTGTAAAGTTTAGCGTGTAAAGTTTTAAAGTATGGAGTGTAAAGTTTAGCGTGTAAAGTATGGAGTGTAAAGTGCGTTAACACTTAAGTGTAACACGTCGAAGGTAGAGGTGTGGAGTGTAACGTTTAGCGTGTGAAGTGTGGAGTGTAAAGTGCGAAGGGTAGAGGGTGGATACCAGTGATCGTGCTGCTGTGTCCTGGGAGGGGTTGAGCCCACGACCAAATTGCTTGTGAAAGGAGGGGGGTAGTTAACTGAGAAGCTTCGCACGAATGGAGATTCCATCCCCCCTAATACCTTGCTAAAGCAAGAGGGACTTCAGCTAGCAGAATCTAGCTTTCGTGACCTCATCATTCTTAGGCATCACAAATCCGCGTGCAACTTACGATTTGTCATCTATGAATCACAAACCCGCATGCAAATTGAAATGTGTCATTCTTATGCATCACAAATCCATATATACGTGTTTAGAAAACATGAAAAAGAAACCGAACTAATTCATATTGATTTTGCATTGCTCAGTGTACCAACTCTGTCACTCTTAATTTAATCTTGGCCGTCTGCGTCTTGTTCGTAGCTGGTCCGGGCCCGTTTGGCCGGCATCACCTTAGCCGTCGCCCTCATCAAAGTTAGAGAGTCCGAATTTCTCTTCAGACCGCCTTCACCATCTGCCTCTTCTGTCTCGTTTACTTCGGCTTCATCTTGCATCTTGGCATCATCCGGAGCTTCGCCCTCTGGAGCTTCATCAGTTGCTTTGGCATCCGTGGCATCCGCTGGTGCTGCTTCATCAGCGGCATCCGTGGCATCCGCTGGTGCTGCTTCATCAGCGGCATCTGCGGCATCCGCTGGTGCTGCTTCATCAGCGGCATCCGTGGCATCCGCTGGTGCTGCTTCATCAGCGGCATCTGCTGGTGCTGCTTCATCAGCGGCATCCGCTGGTGCGGCTTCATCAGCGGCATTGGCATCTGTGGCATCTGTGGGTGCGGTTTCATCAGCTGCATTGGCATCATCCACCGCTGCGGCGTTCTTCCTCTCTTCTTCTGCTTCAGCTTCCAAGAGCGCCTCACAGGCGGCCTCACAGTCCAAGTGCAAGCCATCTATCTCTTCTGGCTCGTTCTCTTCGTTCTCGGCTTCATCTTGCATCTCGGCATCCGGAGCTTCACCCTCTGGAGCTTCAGCTGCATCGGCATCCGTGGCATCCACGGCTGCGGCGTCTTCGGTCTCTGCTTCAGGTTCCAAGAGCACCTCACTGGCCAAGTGCAAGCACTGAGCCTCCAACTTGAAGTCGATCTTTGCCAAATTGAAGGCCCCAGCTTCTCCAAAGACATCGCCGTGCTCCACCAAGTCATGGTGCGCCAGCAACGGGTCACGGGTTTGACTGGCCCATTTCCTGGGATCCCGGTCATAGCCGAAGAAGTGCAACTTCATCCGGCCCCCGCCTTCAGGCAGAGTGCATGGGAGGAGGTTGGTGCAGACTCCCACGAAACCTCCCAGCACCTTGTGATGCATCAAGGCAGCATGGAGAGCCGCCTCACCACCTTGTGCCAAACCACCAATCAAGAGCCGCTTGTGCCCATTTTCTCCTAAAAGAGTGGCTTCTCTTTCCAAGGTCAAGGACAAACGCACCCGCACATCTTCCAAACTCAGCGGATCCGCTTCCAAGTCCCTGTCACTCCCATAGTAGTCAAACCAACTGATGCACTGCCTCTTGTTGTATGCTGTGATAGGCATCGTCGGTGCAAGTGGCAGTACGATTCTGACTCCTTTGGCTGAGAAGGCTGACTTCCCTTGGAGATATCGGAGATTTCCTGAGCCAAAGGGATGCAAGTAAACCAATGTGGCCTTATGCTCCCCATCTTGAGGCACAATGATGGACTGCTGCAGCTGCAACCGCGCACTCACTGGCGCCCTCGGATTCTGCTGTGGTTCTCCAGAAATTTTGGCCAACACTGCGGCAAAGGGCTCAGCGGTTTCCCATTTCTTGTCAGCTTCATCATGTGCTTTGCTAACGGCATCAGCTTCTTTGATTTCATGAGTGAGTTTCTGCACCAGTTGAACCAATTGGTAGCGAGGTGGGATCGCAGCACCGCCCGTATGGGCACTATTGTTTCCAATCATGCGCAAAAAATGAGCCATGCTCACAACACGTGAGAGTTCAGGACAAGCTTCACGAAGACTATCGATTTTTTCCTTCAAAGTGGCTTCAGGTCCCAGCACTTTGGAGGATAAACGCGCGTCTTGTTTGAATTTCTTGGCTACCCAGGTCTCCAGCCCCGCCCGCGCCGTGACCATCAGCTGCCGGTCGCGCTCGTCCCCGATCTTCGGGAGACCCACCTGGTTGCGGAGCTCGTCCACCACTTGGGTCAAGGGAGGACCCGCCACGATGACACCGCCTGGCAGATTTCATCAAGAAAATGTTGGCCAATATATGATGAAGGAACGAAAGCAACAAGAATGAGAAAGAATGAGAAGAGGGAGAAAAAATATAAGAATAATATAGAAAAAAATAAATAATAAATATAAATAAATAAGAATGATAAGAAGGATAAAGGAGAAAAATAAGAAGCATGAGGAGGATGGGAAGAATGGAAAGAATGACAAGAATCAGAAGAACCAAAAGAATGAGGACAAGAATAATGATCTAATGAGGAGAAAATGATGCACATTTAAAGGTGCACAAAATTTCAGAAGGACGAAAACATGAGAAGAAACAGAAGAATGAGAAGACCAAGAGCAATGAACATCATGAGAAGAAGAATGAGGATAACGGAAGAGATAGAGAGAGGGAGAGAGTGAAAATTGGTAGAGAGAGGAACGAAAGAATAAGAATATAGAAGAATGAGAAACAATGGATGCTATGTGTCCGATCCAATGCGTCCAGCATAGGGGCTCAACATGGCTCAACGACAATTTCAAACTTATTGTCATTCAGACATGGGGTTTCGGGCGTCATCATCTAAATCATCGTTGGCCCTCCAAAATGATGCAGTGTCCGGAGTCAAAGCCTAGCAGTTCAAGAAAGAACGATGTCACAAGACAATGCTAGAGCTGCGATGGATGCTATGAATACTGGAATTAAATAGAACTAATGCATCCAAACATGCCAGGAATATTGGAATAGTTCCAGCCCTTCCCAGAGCCCTTCCCAGAGCCTTTTTCGGTCTCCTCCTCGAAGACGGCGGCTTCATCCCAGTAGCGATCCAAGCTGATCTGTTGCACCTCGATGGCACATCCACGCAGTCGGTTCCTGAGCGGTGCCACGCCCGGTGCTCTCAGAAACACGGCAGCTTCAACATGCCAAACCAATGAAAATCATGAACAAATGCATCTGAGAACCACATTGAAACTATGGAAATGATATGAAATGATTGGGGTCCATTGAGTGCTATTGAAAGAAGCCACTGAAACCGTCGAATTCCGACATATATTAAAAGAAAATAGAAACCTACATAAAGTACCTATGAGACTTCTCACTGCCTGGCTTCACTATGTGCCAATTGCACTCGTCCTGCCAACTCTGGTCTCCAGCAAACAAAATGCACTGCCGTCGGCAACTTCCGTCATTGCCAGCCTCACAAAGCGAGGTTTGTGCTGCGGAAGGCGACTTCCTACATCTGCCAAGTTCGCTCGAACCAAAGAAGAACTAAAGTGACTAGAGATTGCTATGTGAAAACGGCTACAAAACAAATGCCTGAAACTTGCACTGGGGTTCTTCACTGCAGTGATGAAGAATGGAAAACATTGATGCACCGTGAATTCAGCCAGTGATCTTGTGCCAGACGCGGAACGAGTTGCATCTTGATGTACTCTTGATGTCTTCTTGATGTACGTAATATGCCATCGAACTGCTATGAAGCATATTTGCAGCGTATTTGCAGCTGAGGGACAGCAGCAGCTGCACGGGCTTGACTCACAATTCTGCCGATGGTGTTGAACGCCACAGGGCCCATCGGTCCCAGGTCGTAGGGATGGATGGACAGCACGGGCTGCCGGTCGTAGGTCCAGCCGTGCGCAGCGCAGGCGTGGCCAAAGCCGTCCGTGTTGAACTCTGGCGGCCGCGCGTCGATGATGGCGCCAATGCGGTAGCCCTGAAGAAAATGCTGGACGTGGTGGGATGCGGTGGGAAAAAACATTATAAGTATTGATAAGTATGCAATAAGATGCAATAAGCATTCGATGGATGCAGGTTAAACCGCATCAAAACATATCAAAATGATATGCCAACTGCATGACTTCAACATCTTGAACATCAACGACATCGTGAAGCGTGTCGAAACAAATGCTGAGAGGCTATTCTGGTTCCATGCTGACACCATCTGACACCATTGCATATAGGTTCGACTCAATCAGCACGCGGGTCCCACACTTTTTAATAGCGGCAAGATGCGGCAAGCCACTTCAGAAAGGGAAAATGAAGGAAAATGGGCCCCCTCAATGGCAAGATTCTCGGCAAGATATGGCTTGATAAGTCAGGTTCAGCCCTGCCTCCAGCAGTTTGATCATGACGTGAGGCTCCACATTGGGTTCCCAGCCGATGGTGCACACGGTGGGTTTCGTCAAATCTTCGGCCTCTGACGGCAACATCGGCTGACATCGCGTCAAACATCAAGAACTTTGACGACCAACAGGCGAGCAAACTGGTGGGAAATATTGGATTTTATTGGGAGATATTGGGAGGTTCAAGCCTGAAGCACCAAACTGATCCAAAATGCACTAGGTACTTCTTTCAGTACAAGGTCACGAACAAGCAAACATGTGCACAACACCATCCAAACAAAGAAAGATCAACACAACAACAGCTCCAAGGATTTGGCAAGGAGAAAAATGAGAAGATCGAAACTTTGAAGATCTTTGGAGATCTTTGGAGCCTCCAGTCGTGCATCAAAGTGGGGTGTGGCGGCAGAACTTGAAGCCGACAGAGCCATGGCTTCAGGTGTTGCCATAGACTTCAGCTGCGACATCTGCTGCGCGTACAGCTCGGGTGAAATGATCATTTGCCGCTGTTCAGGTCCTAACCCTGGAGGCAAACCTGGCAAACCGGTCTCAGATTTCATGCCCTGCGCCATCTCAGACTTCACATTTTCGGATTTCACAAAGTCAGCAATGGATGGAGAAGCGAGCTGAGCTAGGGCCAGTCCAGCCGCTCCGGTCTCTTGCTTCACCTCTGACTTTACATTGGCCATGGCCCCTGGAACTCCAAAATGACCAACTCGACCCTCGCGCTTCACTGCTTCCTCTTTGATGTTCTCTACGTTGATGATCTCAGAAATCTCCAAAATATCTTGTGAAAGCTTTCGGGCCAATTCACGAACAGAATCTTCTACCTCTTTCTTTTTGCGTGCAGCAGCTTTGGAGTGAACTTGCTGCACTTTCTGCGCTTCTCTTTCACGAAGCTCCTCCAAGCGTCGAGCTTTCGCTTGTTCAATGGCAACTTTCTTCTCGGCCTCTTCTTTTGAATCCTTGGCATCCTTCTCCTCGCAAAGCAATGGTAAAGCCTGCTGCTTTGGTATGGGTGTTTGCCTTGCTTCCTTCTCTCTCTTTTTTTCTTTTTTGTCCTTCTTCTTCTTTTTGTCCTTGTCCTCTTCATCTTTCTTTTCCTTCCCCTCCTTCTTCTCTTTCTTCTCTTTCTTGTCCTTCTTTTCTGGTGGCGGAGGCAGGGCAGTTATAGGAGATTGCCCATTGGCCACTCCGACCCCAAGCCGCTGCTTGGCCTCCAAGAGCTTTGCTCTGAGTTCGGAGGCGGTGCCCAGCGGCATTTTGCCTCCGGCACCTGGTGCGGGTGCGGCTGCAATGGCTGCCGGGCCCATGGCACTTGCCGCTTTCGCCGCGCTTGTTGCACTGCTGGTGGCACCGCTAATGGCACTGGTTGCAGGGCTGGCGGTGCTGGCGGTGCTGACGGCGGTCTTGTCATCACGACATTGGTCGAGCTTCGCACGTAAATCCTTCACAGAGGCCTTGGACTGTGCCCGGCTCTTTGCTGCTGCCGGTGCCGCCTTCACGGCCGTTTTGGTCTTTGGCGGGGCCTCTGCAGGTGCAGGTGCTGCAGGTGCTGCAGGTGCTGCAGGTGCTGCAGGTGCTGCTGGTGTTTCCGCTGCAAGGATGGCAGCTTCCATGGCCTCAATGGCATCGGCTTCAGGGTCGCCTGCCTTCGGGGCCTTCGGCCGCCGCTCCGGCAGTTTGATCAGTCCAATTCGACCCAAGGCTTCAGCAGCACGGACGGCCACATCATCACTCACCTCGGTGGCCTTGGTGGCGTTGGCCTTTGCCATGGCTGCATCACTGTCACTCTCTTTTGGCTCATCCGTGGCATCCATGGCATCCACAGCACTTGCTGGAGTGTCATGGGACAAACTTGGCTCAGCTGACGTGTCCATCGCAGTGGCATGCCCATCATGCTCACTCAAGACACTGGCAGCAGCACCCTCACTGGTTTCCACTCCTTCGTCACGTCCTTCATCATGTTCACCATGTCCTTCTGCAAGTGCTTCAGCAATGTCCGACAATGCGGCAGCAGCCTGCCACGCAGCATCTGCTTCTCGCGCCTCTTCTTTCACCTGAAGCAGATCTGGCGACATGCGACTGACGCTTCGTGTGCCACTTGCACGGCCAAGCGAATCATGGCACCCGCAATGTGTTCCGGTGTGCTGTGAAGCTGACCTGGCCTGGAAAATCTATGCTCTTTGATCTCTTTGGTGTCAGGTGAGCTGAAAAACACGAGTTGACTTGGTCCACAGGTTGCTTGGTGTTATGCATCTTGGAATGTGCATGTTGTGGAAATGTGCTGAACTGTTTTGAACGTAAGTCACGTAAGTCACGTAAGTCAAACACGGTCTATCTATCTTAATATGGTCTTTTTGTTTTGTCTCTCGGCGATCCATTCGGTCCTGTGGAACCTGACAGCGGGGCAACTTGCATTGGCTTGGCTTTCACAATTCTCCAAGGGGCAACTTGACAGCAACCTGGCACAGAAACGTATGAAACATTATGAAACAACGCAAACAACGAATGAACAATGAATGACCCAACATGAATAGACCATGCGACTGTCAAAGTCATTTTCTTTGGGGCATCTGCTCTGTGGCCTAGCGCCCAAGCAGCACCATCAGCACCATAAGAAAGTAGCATAAGACACGATGAGACACAAGGCAATGGAAAGCAACAGAGCCAGGCTGAAGGTCGAAAATTGGCGCTTTGGCCGGGCGGAGATTCACGCTGAAAACTTTCTGGACCAAAGAAATATCCATTGCTCTTTGCGTCTCTTTGCTATCTCTGACCTACTGCTATCGGCTAGCCGCGACTAGCCATCCCAACAGGATTTCACTCTCCGCGGCCGTGACGAATTTGACGATCCCGTCACCACAGGCCCTTGGTTTGACAACCAAGCTCCGTGGCCATGGAACGCACCGACTGCATCGCTCTCTGCACTTGTGACCTGCATGGCTTGTGTGGCTTCTGGATGCTTCTGGATGCTTCTGGATGCTGGATGGTTGGGTGACTCATGGGGTGGTTGATGATTGCTATGTTGTGTTAGTTGAATGATGCTTTCATAAGTTCATAAGTCTTCATATGCTTCATGATGCTTGGTAGTTGGTTAAGATTAGATAGTTGTACTATGTTGTATTATGTTATTATGTTGTACTTGGTGGCTCATGATGATTAACCAATGATTCACCAAGTTGGTTCTGCTTCAGTTCCAATTGGTAGCTAAGGCACTCCGACAAGGACGCCACTTTCAGCACATCCTCCAGGTCCTGCGTCGGATGTCCACGGATGGCTCCACGGATTCACATGGGGCAACCAAGGGTCTAAGATATAGCACAAGGGCCATCAATGGTATACCAAGTTATACCAAGTTATACCAAGGAATACCAAAGGGGCACAAGAATGCACAAGAGACATAGACGCAAGAGATACAGACTCTCTGCATTACTCCCGGAGACTTCCGGGAGGTACGGGCGTCTACTCCGGGTGGTCCGACGTTTGGTCCTCCACGTACTTCGTTTGATGCGCGCCGTTCAAGGTACACGACACGTTGGACGACGACGCCAGGCGCAGGGCGACTTGCTGCAGCGTTGCCTCGGCTTCGGCTTTGGCTTTGGCGTCGGCGAGGGCGTCCAGCACGACGCGCTTCAACAGTGACTGCGTGGTGCCCATGGGCTTGGCCTCAAAATCGGAAGACATAGGAAGACCAGAGATATGCAGATGTTATGCAGATATGCCATGATAGATGTCACATATATATGATCAGGCTGTATCATGTGTGGATATATTATGATAATTAATCATATATGTCTGTGATACATCTGCTAATATCATAGGTATTGTAGATTATTGAAGTGTATCAAATGCACTAACCATCAAAATCATCAAAACAACAGCATCTCATTGAATTTGAAGGTGTTACCACAAGGGATGGCCAAACGGAGGCACAAACGATGCTGAAAAAACGTCGCTGACTGCCTCGCGAAGCTGCAAATAGGAGTTTCCTCCACGTCCCCAATCTCCAGTGCTAACTCCTGCCAAACAAGACCAAACAAGACCAAGACATGCCATGACATGCCAATCATCAAATACAAAACACCATGATACCATGTGACATCTGTGTGACATATATCAAACCTACCCTCATATCATGGAAAACCTTGGAAACTAGATTTAAGACTGACCCTTTCGCAGGGTCATGAGACCATTCGAGGTGTTACAATAGTATTGTTAATGGCATAAATTAGGCCATTACAAGCTATCAAAAGCCTTCAACACATTTCAACATCTACCAGCGTTTATCAGGCAATCTGCGGTGTCTTGACGACGCGGTGTGACGCCACGCCGCGTTGTGCCTGGCATTGGAAGCGCATTGATCGGCCGATTGGTCAAAATGGACACGCCCAGTCGCTGAGCCATGGAGCAATCACCCTCGGCCTGAGTTCCTGCAGAATACGTCAACAAAAACTGCTGAAATAATTAAGAAGATTAAGAAGTTTTAAACAGCTTGAAGCAGCTTGGCATCATCGATCTTCCCAATCACATACCAATGTCTCATCATTTTCTCATGCTAATTTCATGCTACGCTTTGCTCTTCTTCGCCATTTCGTTCCCGTTGTTCTCGTATTTCTCGTTTCGTTTCTCGTTTCTCTCCTGGGGTTCGGCCCAGCACGGCACCGTTCTCGAAGGCGTTGAGCGGGAGCTGGGCCACTTGGAAGCGGTGCTTCTGGAGGCCTTCAGCACGAGCTGCCGACGCTGCAGCATCCACGACCCGGTCCAGCACCAGAGATTCGTACCTCGTAAGGAGTCGTAAGCACCCAAAAAGCACCGCAACCAGCGCATGAATCCAGAGATATCCGATATCCAGAGCAACAGTTATAAGTTATAAGATCATGTTAGATCGGTTAGAAACATCATTGAATCTTTGAACAGGGTCGAACATCTGGGTCAGGGAGCACCGTGGAGCAGCATGAGCAGTATGAAGCAGCATGGAGCAACTGCGAAATGTGAACCATCTGCCAGTTTTGATGCTAGGCGCGCCAGGCAATGTGTGAGACTTGCATTGTCCAACACTGAGCCGACTGAGCTTCTGACAAATTGGGAAGTCCCGTCACTGAGAACATGCACGAAAGGAAGTTGCTGCTAACACCATATCCAGATGTGATGATGCCATCATTGCCTCGCGCTTGCCGACAAATGTCAACACACAACCCTCAACACACCATAGACTTTCCAAACCATGTAACGCGCCATGCTCATCCATGCTCTATGCAGAAAAGATTGAAGCAATGCTCTGGTGGATCTGGAACAAACATTGAACCTCAACGTAGAAACATGATTGACAGAAACGTCCCGGCATGTATTTGGAGAACTTGACAAGTTCTATCAGAAAGGTGTCAAAGACTGCAAAGACTGCGAATACAATAAATAAATGTGTGGATGTGCGGCATGTGTCGGCACACCCTTTCAACGACGCTGAGGCACACAGGCGCTCCAGGATCTTGAAGGCTTCAAAAAGGGACTGATACATCTCGTCCCAGGCATCAGCAATTGGTACCTTTTCTTGCATCCGTGCTGACAGCAAATACTCAGGATTGTGTAGAAAAACGAAGTCCGGCTTGGTCCCCAAACGTTCCGTGCAGGCCTTGACCTCTGAATCCACAAAGGTGGGGCTGATGCAGTGCCAATCATCAGAGGTGGTCCCTGCACCGCGGTGCGCACCGATGGGAACAGCTCCTTTGGGCATCTCGCCGCGAGGCACATGGCCCACCTTGGTGCAAACGATCAGCTCATCCCGTGGCCGTCCATGCAGGGTGGCCCCGATGACTCTCTCACTGTGCCCAAAGGCGTAGTGGCTGCTGGTGTCGATGACGTTCACCGAGTCCAACGCACGGGTCAAAGCACCCGACGCCGTGGCCGCCGTGGCGGCGCCGGTGGCGCTGCCCTCGGGCACCAAGCGATAGGCGCCGAAGCCCAGGGCCGTGCACGCGAAGGGCCCCAGACGTCGAGCATTCGACGGATGCAAACGTCCCGACGCCAAGACACGCTCCACGAAACGCGCCGTGCCTTCCACTGTGGCCATGGCGTCCTGATGGCGTCCTGGGCGTCCCGGATGCCCTGGACTGAACAAGTCGTGTGAACGGCTGTAGCAGCTGTAGCGGTGTAGCAAATGTGGCTGAGTGTGATTCTGCACGTGTCCATACAAAATGATGTACCACACTATGATCAAATAATATCAAAGTAGATTTCGATTCTATATACAGTATCTTGTTGTTTGGTTGGCCATCCTGATGGTGCAAGGCATTGTCTTGCCTGGCTGTGGGGTCTTAGCGTAAGTCCTAGGTTCCTCTGCGTGGAGCCTGTTGTTTGGGATGGGTCATATGTGATCATATGTGTATCTGATCCACTATATCCTGTCGGATCCAAAAAAAAATACGAGCATTAGGGAAAGACTCATCACACTCGAGGAATTCTGGTGGTCACTGGTGGTCACTGGTGGTCACTGGCAGTCCATCCTTTGCCAATCCGAAGCCGAAAACATCGAGCGTCTCAGAGAGTCGTTTTTCTGCCAAGGCTGCTCTGCTTGCGGCTTTGCCGCCACAGCCCCGGGGCTCAGCCTGTCTCAGATCCTGGGGTAACTGGAATCTGACAAGACGCCACCTGGGCAGGTGGTACACCCCAATGGGCCCAAATGGATCCAAATGGCACCAGGACGTAACATAAGTAGCCACAACATGCAAATGTAAATTTTAAATGTAACATATAGTTGAATACACTGACACCTGATGTTTCGGCAAAGTAAGCATTTAAGAAGAAACAGAAACCAATGAACTTGCACATGACACGATGTTCGCATTGCACAACCGGTGGAAAGAGCAAGTGGAAGTAAGCCACTACATGCCACTGCCCTGAAAACATCCAAGATTGCCACCAAGTCTACGCCAAAAAAACATGATAAAATCCGACCAAATCCCAATAAAATCAATAAAATACCATAAAACATAAGAAAACTTCCGGGGATGTCGAGGGATGTCAAGGGACACATGCCACAGACCGGCAGTGACGGGGGACCACCTTTGCATCCAACTCCGACCTGACGTCGACCAAGGTCGAGTGTGACGAGTGTGACTTCTCCATGGGAGCAGAAGATACAGCGACATCTCGACATCATATTGTCACATATCGACATAAAGATACGTCAAGATGTCGATATCAAGCCAGCCAAGCTGTCAAGCTGTCAAGCTCATTTCCCTGCAAATCTTTCGATATGTTGCAATTTTACTTGGTTGCTTTTGGTTCACTTTCGCGCGCCAGCTTTTGTGACCGGTTTGGTGTTGTTGCGCCTTGGGGTCATAGTCAGTGCCACAGAATCCACTCTGACCTCCATGCAACTCCGTTCCAGGAATCGAAATAAATGCAACAAATGGAACAAATGGAGCATAGCCAGTCTGACCTAGCGGCCTAGCGCACCCTACCTTCTTACCCTTCTTACACTTTAACTCACTTGGCTCTGGTACATCATCTTCCAAGTTTCCCATCTTCACATCTGATGTCAACCACACACCCATTCACGGCTGAAGCTCACTATATTCACTATGCTCATTGCCTTCCAAAACGAAGACCATGATCCTGAGGAAACGACCGCCTTTGGCTTCATCGCCATCGTGACGTAGGAGCCGCATGTAGCCATTCTCACCCCAATCAGCACCCCAAGAGTTGCGGATCACCCAATACTTTTCACCTTTGTCTTCACCTGTCGAAGCAGTAACGACAAGGATGGTCAAAACGTATTTTTAAAAAAACAAAACGTGTTTTAAAAAACTAGCCGCAGAAGTGGTATAGCCCCCGGTGCTTCCCTGGGGCTTCCCGGCCATAGCCCACCAGCAGCACGGCGTGGTTGATCGTGGCATCTTGCCTCGGGCGCCGCGCGGCCGTGGGCACTTGCACAACCGTCGCCACGGGGTCTGCGCACAGTGCGGGTGCTGCCGAATGCTGCCGAGACACTTGCAGCTGTTGAAGACCTCTTCAGGTCACTTCAGGTCTTCAAAAGGATAGGGAAAAATGAGAAAGGATGAGAAAGGATGAGAAAGGATGAGAAAAATGAGAAAGGATGAGAAAGGATCACAAAGAACAAAGAACCAACAATCGCATGCGTGCAGCATATATACACATATATACATGTATGTATATATATATACACACTATTATAAATTAAACTAAATTAATATCTATCTGTGTGTGTGTGTTCTTATTAAATTTGCACAGACATGCTACATCCATAGCGCGCATTGAACGTATTGAAGGTATTGAACTGCACATGACATCGCAGCAGCGCCAAGTGACTCCTCCGTCGTACATGGCCCACTGCCCCGCGTCCACAGAGACCACAACAGGGCCCTTTTCCGACACCGCAGCTAACCTATGCCACGAAAATGTGCAGCTGAAAAATCATGGAAAATCCAAAGAGGAAGTCTTTCTGCAACATGCAATTTCATGCAATTTCATGCAATTTCTACATCAAATACAGGGCATTTCCTGGAAAGAATCTGAAGTTTAGGCAAACATCACATGTTTTGACATCCTGACGTCACCTGGCTGAGGACCTGGCAATGGGGACAGCTGATTCTCAGGCAGCTTCACCTTAAAGCCATCAAGGACACGTCAAGGACACGTCAAGACATGGCCATGATGGTCGAACCATGTCGAATCGAATGTTCGAATGTCCATGGAAGTTTACGGATGATCCATGGATGTCGGTTCTAAATCGTGCTGTCACTATCTGTCACTGCTGTCCTTAAGTCTGTCGAATCGATGTCGCTTCGGAAGTCCAAGTCACAAATCCTTTGGGCTGCAGCGCTGCTTTCGTCGCAACGCATTTCCCATCCGACTCCGAATCCTGGTAGTCGGCTTCGCTGGCGATGCCATGCTGCTGTGCGAACTCAAAGGCTAACTCAGCTGTAGCACCCGAACAGCCGCCATCGCCACCACAATGCGCCGGGTTTGGAGTACAATCCAACAACTGCGAAAACGACAATTTCTGTTTCTGATTCTGATGGATTTCCGCGTGCATCTCCAGGGCTCCCGTGGCTGCAACTGCCCAACAGGAGCCACAACCACCTTGCACACGCAAGAAACCACTGGAGTTCAGTTTACGCCAATCCCTGCTCTCGGCAATGGCATCCATCTGCAAAAACGATGAGCCACGGATGATTCCTTTGGATGACCCTGGACGTATGACACGTCGATATCCAAGCAAAGATCGATATTCTAAGTCCGTCATGTCTGCAAACTTATTCACCTTTGCCCACCAAGTCTTGTTGACCTTGGCATTTTGAGCATCGACTTCCGCTTTTCTCTGAATGAAAAACGCCAACCTTTGCTGATAATCCGACGAGCCCTGCTCTTCACTTCTCCCGTAGTGGCTGCGAAATGCCTCGTAGGCCGCGACGTCCGCGGCCGAGGCGGCCTCAGCGAAAAATCGTTTTCACATGTTTCCACAGCATCACGATGTTCCAAAAAATATGTACCAAATCTTGTGCAAAGACGCTGCCCCCAACCCAGTATGTAATTATGTGCAATCGTATCATGGTTGCACTGTTTCTTGCGCTGTTTCTTGCGCTGTTTCAAGATGTCTCAGACTTGGGGCAGCCAGGTAGCCCTGATGGTCGCCCCACGCACTGCCAACATGGCACTGCAAAGCATGAGAAGTTGCAACGGCTTTGGCGCATGCTTCATCTTATCCTGGACAACGTGTCAAATGGTTTCAGAAAGATCCATAAATGCAAAATGTGCCGAACTAAGACCATATGAAGAGTGAACCTATTTCTTAGCAAGAGACAATCATGTCTGACTGTCTCGAGATGGCATTTACGAATCTACTTCCCACTTCAAAAGCCATCCATCACTTCACGCGTCCGATCCTTGATCATTTCAAATCGCCAGGGGCGACTGGAGCACAAAACAAATGAAAACAACGTCTTTCGACGTTGGCCTGACTTTGAGCAACAACTTGCAGACGGCACAGATGAGAGCACCCTGCAAGCACATATTGCACGATGTCGAGCGACGTCAAGTACATGAATTGTGCATTCTGCTGGCTTCGTCACATGGAATGTATATGAATGTATGTTTGCGGAAATGCTTCCCAAAAGTCACTCAACAGATCTAAAGATTTAAACAACATAAGAGCATTGGAAACGCACCAATTTTTCACCTCGGAGGGTGGATTCTACGAAGACTGTACGAAGACTGTTCTGCAGTCTGCACGAAGGAGCCTTGAGGCCGACTGAAACTCTGGACCTGGCAGACTTCACTCTGCGCCTGCGCAGCATGTTGTGACTTTGACTGACTTCTCACTCCAAAGCTCCATCAGTCCAACTATGTCCAACTCCAGACTGTCCACTCTGCATTCGCCAAATGCCGTGGATTGCCGTGGATTGCCATGGAACTCAGTTGAACTTCTCCAAGTGATTCGATATGATTCGATGATCGGTTGATTCGTCAGGTGTCATTGGTTCTCAGCGCAGCCATGCTCAGCCAAGGCTTGCCGTTACATGTAATTACCAGCATCGCAGCATATCGCAGCCACCCTGGTCAACAGCGCCCTGACATCATAGATCCTCATCCCGAGTCATCCCACTTCATCGAAGTATGCCAACAACGCGTCATATGCAGACCGGATCTCCATGAAGTGCTGCCTCGAGATCGATCAATGTCTAAAATCTGCAACTGACCATCCAAAAACTGTTCTATATTGGCCTCGGCCTCCCACATTGCTTTCCGAGTTGCGCTGCAATCTTCTCCATATTTTCATCCTTGTTGTTCTTGTCGGGGTGGTACTTCAAGGCCAGTTTTCGATACGCTTTCTTCACATCGCCGACGCTTGCATCAGTCGGCAGCAACCTGAACGGGAGAGAAAACGCCAAGCTGAGCCCCAGCCAATGCTTGAGCTGACAACCAGCCCAACATAGCCCAACATAGCCCAACATAGCCCAACATAGCCCAACAATCCAGGAGTCCGCAAATGAATCCGGAATCTCAAACAACTGTGTTGAATGCAATGCGTATTGTGACAATGTACCGCCGTAGCACGAGCATCTAGATAGGTCTATATATATTATATCTCTCTCTCTCTCTCTAGACCATGTCTTGAATCACAAGGATTTCACGGGGCACTTTCGGCAGTTGCTTCCAAGCAGCAAACGCTGTAAGCAGCTTCGGATGTGTGAAGGTACCAGTGGTCGCAACGGCGGCAGGTACTGAAATGGACAGTTGGGGCCTCCAAAGGTGGAAGATGCCGAAGGCTCCTGCAGAGTCACGAAATGATTCGTAGAAATCAAGAAAACAACATAAATCCAACATAAATCCAATTATCGATGTCAGTTCCAATGGATTTTTTTCAACGATGTCTTGCAGTTTGGACGAGAAAACATGAAAAAACATGTTGTGTTTGCGTTCCTTGGGTCTGTCCGGTTTGGGCGGGGGCGCTTGCGGCTCATCGCTCCAAGGAGACTTGTGCCCATTGGCAAACCTGGACATGGTCAGGGAGAAACAACGCGATGCCAACTGCCAACTGAAAGGGGAAAAAAAAAACACATCATGGCACATCATACCAATCATGCACATGTCGCATGACAAATTATATTATTGTTGATGTTAAATTTGGACTGGGAAACCCTGGTTGGTTCATTGGAACTCCCCCCCGAGCAGTGAGAACATATGAGAATATTATCCTAAATGGTACTCCCGCAATTAAACAACCCATGGTCCTTCTATCAAATACCATCCAATACCCAAACATCAACTTATAATTATGTATTGTGTAGAATTATGTCGTCACATTTCATCACATGATGTCATCAGTAGCTGTGAGTTGGAACATGTTGGAACCATCAAGACGACCTCAAACTCCAGTGAAACATACGAAACATGATGACAAACCTGAGGGGTTTCTCTAGCCGAGAGGCTGATGCCAAACCGCTTCACGGACCAACTTCTCCTTGCCTTGGACGAATCCCGCCAGGTGCAGTCGGTGCAGTCGGGGTTATCCATTTTCGAACATGCAATACGTCCAACACGTGATGGGTGAACTATGGTGAATTGATAAAAATATAAGTAGATATGTAGAAATCACATAGGCATTGTGATTGGATTCTCATGCTTCTGTTTGGAAAACAATGCTGATGGCACTGGCGATGTTTCAGGGGATGCCGGGTGATGCTTCGGGTGACCGGAGTCTGTCGAGTTGAAATAGGCGGATCGCATGCCGATGCTCCAGCAATGCTCTCGCAAGGCCGTGAAGGGCAGCGCCTAGCCGCACAACCGGACCACCGGACCTTCAACATGTCACATCTCGGCTGTGCTCCTTGGGATGAACCACATCCCAAAAATGGCCATAATATATATATATATATACATACATATGTGTGTGTGTGTTATATTATATATGTGTATATATAAATGTTTGTGTGTACTGTTTATACATAATATTGCTTTGTATAAATTTAAATAGATATCTATCTATACTATCTATGCAAAACAGCTTTGCTGCAAACCTTGCGTATACAGAGCGCCTTTTCCACTTGAGCCAAAAGTCAAGCGTATTGGGCTATACACAAATGGTGAACTATGTCGATATACATCTGCACTCCTTCTTACCCGAGAGCTGCTTAACAGCTCGACAGTACTCTGTACACATCTTTCCAGGTTTGCAGATATGAATTCTTTGTACATAGCGGAGCCTGGGCCAGGGCCTTTGGATTACGAGTCCAATAGCTTCATCTGGCCTCTGCTACGTTCCGTCAGGTATATGTATCCAGATCTCTCCATCGTTTTGTGCATTTGAACACCAGGAACCCTTTCCAAGGCCTATCCTGCTTACCGTTCCCTTTGCCGAATTGGAATCGGACTCTACCGTCACTGGCAGAATGATTCCCAAATCGGATGTAATGACTGCAGTCCCAACGCCGTCGAACCTCCACGCACTAATGCGTAATATTCACTTTCTCCTGTGCTTAGGGCTATGGTGCTCTGAACGTTCGAAGCGTGTTTGAAGGTATGCGTGCCGTACAGAGCTATCATGCCTGTAGTGCTCCGCCGCGTCACGGCGTCTCCTGCATGGTCGCTATCGACCTGCACTTTGATGCTTGTCGGCTCTGCTTGAGTGGCAAATACCTGAGCAAAGTTTGGATACTTCTTCAAGTATCTCCCCAGTCTCTTCAAGTCTGCGAGACTACTTTCCGTAGGACTTACCATTTTGCGAGACAGATTCTTGACTGCATGACTAAGGTCCGGTCTATCTTGGGATAAGTATGCTGCCCGCATTACACTCGACCTAAACATACTAGCCAGGTCCTTTGTGAGCAAAGTGCTCTTGGACTCTAGCATCTGCTGTTCCACAGACTTTTTCAGGTCTGGAGTGTCTACTCCCTTTGCGTTCTCAAGTCTTAAGTTGCGGATCAACAAATCCACGTGTCGTCGGTCTGGTTCCAGAAAGACCGCTGGTCTTCCTTGGTGGGTACCGACTCGAATGAGCCGATTCAAGAAGTGTATTCATCGCCTTTGTCAAAACCAAGCGTTCCGAGCCGTTTTAGCTCATAGGTGCTTCTGAGTAAGTCGTCTACCTCTTGAAGTCCCTGGTCATCTCCCAAAACCAGGAAATCGTCACCGTGGACGACGATTCTGATGCCATCTCGGTCACGGTAGAACACACTGGCATTGCTTTTGCGTCTACTGATTCCCACGGACTCCAGCAGTCCGGTGTAGTGGCTTTGCCGGATATTTGGGGCATCCTGAGTTCCATACATAGACTTCATCAATAGACCACACTCCTTCTCACCAGATTCCGTGTATGACACATCCTCATCGGGTAACTCGATGTAGATGGTCCTTTTCGGAATGCCGTAAAAGTGTGCTCTGCTGATGTCCCATAGTCCTAGCTTCAGCTTTTGTCCTCTCTTTGACAGCTTTTGGGTGCTCATAAGTGAACAGAGCAACCGCATTGACTCCAGGGGTGGAGTCGAGCTGAACAGCAGGTTCTGAGGTAGCTGCTCGCTCTCCGATTTTGCTGCCTTGATGTCCTTCACTACAAGTCGTGATCTGAAGTTAGGTTTCGTTGGATCTCCCTGTGTCCAGCCACCTGACCGGTATCGGCCTCCGGCCGGTGACTTTCAAGGCTTCGGATATTGGTCGTTTCTCATAAACCGCTTGTCTCTTCAAGTATTCCATTTCCAGTTGGCGTGCTTCTTTGACCTTTTCTGGGTCTAACCATCCACCATGCACATCATCCCAGTACCACTCCTCAAATTGTTGAGGATCGATGAATGGTTCTTCAGGAACTGGACCGCTGACGTTTGCTTCTGCGGAGCTTAGCTCTCCACTTTCCGTCAGCTGTTGTCTCAAACACTTTAGTACGGCTCTTACCAGCTTCGGCGGGTACTGAGCCGCCTGTCTGGCTATTCCACCTATAAGATGGATGTGCCGGTGCCAGTCCTTTCCGTGTTGGTTGGTACATTCACCTTTCAGCAGGCTTGCCAAGCCTCTGCGGTCGGTTGCTTTCATCTCCCAGCGACACATCGGTCCCTTGACCAAATACACGCCTGGGAGGGCCAAAATGGCCTGGACCTCTGGGTCCTTCCAACTCGCTGCTCCCCAAGGTGCCTCGTGAAGAAACCATCTTCCAGAGTCATTTAGCTTCCTGTACATTTTACAACTCACGTGGAGATGGTGGAGTGCTTCTGACATCCGTTTCTCACGAATCTCTGGGCTGAGCTTGTGCCAACTGATGTTCTGCAGTTGCGAGAACATATGACACGGTGGACTGCCCGTCAGCAGTTTTGGTTCTTCCCGGTCGATAGTTTCTTCGACCCCCTTGACATCTTCAGACTTGTTTAGATCCCAGTAAGAACCGTCTGGCTTCTGTTCTGTCAGATCTACTACTGAGAATCCTGGTCGCAGCTCGAACGCTTTTGCCGTGTCCGTGAACCGTTTCGGACTGTAGATTTCCATCACATCTACTGCACACATCTGACAACTTAGGTCAGCTATGCTGTCTGCCTCTTCTGAACTGATTGATGCTTTCAGGTTCGCGCATCCGACAACCAAGTCTTCGGACCCACCTGTGGTCAGTGAGCTCAGCACCCGGTACAGCTGGTCACATTTGTCTGCAATGTCTCTGATTCCTTGATCATTGGATAGTTCGTCATACTCGAACTTTTGCTCTAGGATATCAAAGCCAACTGCATCTTCCAAGTCCAAACAATGATCCAAAACATCTTGAAACTCTTTCCCAAACACTCCTACCGTGAGATGACAGATTTTCTTGACCACCTTCTGAAACCCGTCCCATCCTTGTTGAAAGTGTCTGGTTTTCCTAAACCCTTAGTGTCAACCAACAACCTCCTATCTTTATCCTTATCCCTTTTGCCTACAGTAAACTCTGTGCCAACTCCCCCAATGACGACGCCATTTCTTTCATTCCCATATGAGCAGCGCGCATCGACTCATTTTCACCGGTCAGTCGGACGACCTGTTGTCTCATCTCCTCCAGGGCAGCCTGCATTTGAATTGGGCTGCCTGAGTCGGAAGAAGGAGGTATACGTCCTCAACGATGCGCTCCTCCTCCTCCTCCTCTTCTGCGGTCTCGTAGGTGTACTCGCTGTCGCTTTCCACCTGCACGACCTTTGGGGCAGCCGCCTTGCTGCCCTTGGGCTTGTTCTTGGGTCTTGCTTTCAGGGAATGACTTCACGGCCGATTTTGCGGCCTTCCCAGGTTTCTGATCTTTTGTCTCTTTGGGTTTCTTCAGGGTCTCGGCCTTTCTTTTCCTCAGCCGTTCCAAATCCTCAGCAGCCTTCTCTTCCTGCACGATCTTCTTTCGTCGGAGTCTCCTGCGATCTCCTGCGTTCCTCCGATCGTTCGTACTCTTCCCCAGCTGCTTGAAGTTCCGCTGATGTCGGATTCACAAGAGTCCGTTTCGGGAAGTTGTAAGTGATCTGACGAGCTGAACTGCTGGGTGGATCTGTCGGCCTCTCCTCGGGCCGTGGAACCAGCTGAACTGCGGTCTCTCTACTTTTCTGCTTGGACCGAGCTACAGACAAAGGATGCAGCGAATCGATGCAGTCCGGTTTTCTGTCGGACCTTTCGTCCGTCACAGGAACTGCAGGCTTCGTCCAATCCGTCTGCTCCAAATACTCGCTGTTCAATGGACTGTGCCACACTGCCTCGTGCGCGAGCTCTATACACCGCTTCTTTTGCTGCTGCTACCCTTTGTCGGAAGTTGGATCCAAGGGCAGTTTCTGGAGCTGCTCCTCTACGAACTCGAGCTTCTGCAAGCTTTGTGATCCTTGAGTCCACAGTGATCCGGCGTCGGCGTCTTGCGCCGCTATGCCCTTCAATCACCGGTCCTCGCTCAGGAGTCACTGGCCGCTCTCCGTCTCGTTGGCTGCGGCTTCTACTGCGAAGTACTATTCCTTCGCTGGGTTCTTGGTCCGGTTCGGGCTCTCCTGGCCCGCTTTCCCACGGACTCTCTGGCTCTCCTTTCTGGCCTCCTCCTTTTCCTTTTCTCTTCTTTTTCTCCTGTCTCTTCTGTGTGCAGCGTCTGACCGCCAACGGCGGTTTGGGTTCTCTGCCAGCCAGGGATCGACTTTACCTGTTCCTTTTACTTTTCCTTTGCCGCCTTATGCGGCCTCAATGGCTCTTTCTCTTTCTCCGGTCTTTCGCTCGACCTCTTCTCTTTTGGCTCTATCCTCCTCCACAGTTACCAGGACCGTTCGCACCACCTGGTATGTATACGACTCATCTCCTTCGGTGGTCTCCACTGGGTAGGGTCGTCCTGGACCTGGTTCAATCCTGAACCGTTCTACCCTTCTTTCGGCGGCCTCTTCGGGTCCGCCGGCAGTGGCCCCTTCTGAACCGCCCGCTGCGGCCTCTTCGGGTCCGCCTTCTGCCCCTATTATTGGGCCCGGGGCTACGGGCTCGTCCGGGTTGTAATCCGGAACCTCCTCCTCAGGTACGCGGTCCCTGTCACGTTCCACCGCTACCATGCAAAACTACTTTGCTGCAAACCTTGGCGCTACGGAGCGCCTTTTCCACTTGAGCCGAAAGTCAAGCGTATTGGGCTGTACACAAATGGTCAACTATGTCGATATACATCTGCAATCTATGTAAGAGGCTCATAATGTAAGTTGCTTGTATCCTTCGAAGCAAAGCCCAACTCGGCCCAGAGGCATTCGCCCGTCGCCCCGTGCCTTCCAAAAGGCCACTTTCTTCAAGCGTTCACGCTGCTCCTTCTCACCTTTGGCCGAGCAAATAAAAGATAATAAAAGTGTCAAAAAATGTCAAAATCAAATCAGCCATGGCAACATATGGCAACCATGATCAAAATTCAACTAGGTTAACTCGACATGAAAAATTCATCAGATGTCAACATGTCGAGCCAAGTATCTGATGCTGCTGGGTGGTAGCTGCAGGGCCGCGTAACGCACACTCAGCTCAGGCCCGGACAACTGCCACGCTGCCACACATGGGGAATGTTGGAAGCACCGGCTAAGCACCGTGTGATCACTGTGAAATCTGTATCCGATTGGTATCCTTTGATATATCCAATTGATTCCAATTGTATCTCAGGAATTTTCAGGATCTCTTGGAATTTTCGACCTCGAAATGCCGTTCCAGCCGTTCCAGCGCACGCCTTGTCTAAGGTCCTCCATTCGCGGAGGAGAGCGGTAGCCGCGTGAAGACCCAAAACCTTGGCGGCATAAAACATGAATGACAAAAAAAACAAATACCTTTGGCAAAGAAGTCAATGGTATATCCATGACAAGAGGCTTGCAAGTCCAAACCTTCTGCCTTATAGAGGTCCTGGCAAGCATGGCCACATGGCATTTTAAGCACGTGCCGTTGTTGACATATCTTGACATATCTTGACATATCTTGACATATGTTGACATACGATCCCTGCGATTTGTGCGATCCCTGCCTTGCAAAGGCTGCCGAGTAGTCGATCTTGCAGATCTGCTCGGAGCTGTCCCGGGAGTCGATTCATCTCCCAGGGCAACCTCACGGCGTGCTTCTCACACTCCTACAGACGTCACAGACGTCACAGATGTCACAGATGTCACAGATGTCACTCAAAGAGCACGTGACTTTCATGCGTGTCACTCTGTCACTCAGTCTCTTTTTCGGCTGACGTTTGTATGAAGGAGAGAACCGTATGGTCATCATGTCATAGTTTATTGATCCTCGCATTGATGGGCCCCTACCAGTTGGGTTTGCAACCTAGCACAAATGCACTAAGATTCAAACAACTGGCTCACAAATGCATAGTCAGGGACATCTCATGTGTATATAACATCTCATCACATCTAAATTCACATATCCTAATTCCATTCATAAATGCCTGCAAAGCTATGTGCACACCATATTTATCCATTCTTCATCCATTCATCTATTTCATGTGTTGTAACTTTATAGCTTATATATAACTTATGTTCCATGTTCCAAGTTCCAAGTACCACACCTTTTTTTCATAACTGTGACATTTTCTCGTTCCAAGTCGGGTTCATCGGTTCGTCCTTCAGCAGCTGCTGCAGAGGCATCTCGCGCCACAGCGCGGCGCTCCGCAGAGCCGCCTCCTGGGCATCCCGGCGCAGGCCACCTGGTCGGGGGAAGTTCTCATAGGTTTTAGATAGGATTTATATAGGATTTATATAGGTTCTATATATAGGTTCTATATTAGACCATGTAGGCCCTACATGTAGGCTCATAAAGTTGGATATATAATGATATATATATAGTTTATTGTAGTTTTATATACCTATCTCTCTCTCCATAGCCCTCTCCGGGAGTTCAACATCTTGCTGAAGGCGAGCCAAGGACAGCTGGTTATGGTCCACCGTGTGCCCGGGCCCGCGGAAGCCCGCGGGCCCGCGAAGGCCCGCGGGCCCGCGCTAGTCTTGGGCTATCGGGCCCGCGCTAGTCTTGGGCTATAGTCCACCGTGACCTTAAGCCCGTGCAACACTAGAGACCGGCAACAGCAATGCAAAGTAATGAAAACATTCGCACATTTTGAGACATTCTGAGCAAATTTGAAGAATTTTGAGCATTTTGGAGCCGTTTTTGTGGACCAGCTTGGGTCTTTTCGAGCAAATTTCAAACAATTTTGAGCATTTTTGTCGGGCAAGTTGGGGTCATGTCGAGCAATTCTGAGCAATTTTTGGAAGCACGAGATGGCATTGTTGACCTGAGACAGTGTTCAAGATGTCTCAGTTGAGGCTGCTTTGAGACATCTTACTTTAGCTGAAAAAGGTAGCTGATGTAAACCCCACGGATCTAGACCCTAAAAGGTAAGGGCGCCTCTAAGAGGCCGTGTGTTTCAGCACATGGATATGTTTCTATTCAATTATGTTCCAAGGTTTTGCCACAACGAGAGCGGTTTTTCACAGATATCTATATTTTGTGGGTGTATCAAAAGTCATGAAAGGGTATGGAAAAATGAGAGTCACGGTGTGATTTTAATGGTTTTTGTGGGACGAAAGCCATCAGCTTGGAAAAGACAGCGTTACGCTTTTTCTTCTGCGTTGCCGACGTCTTTGTTTCAGCCGCTTTTGCGGCCAAGTATCATCAACGTATCATCAACGCATGATCAACGTAACATCAACGTATCCACAGCGCATGATCAACGTATCATCAACGCATGATCAACGTAACGTCAACGTATCAACAGCGCATGATCAACGTATCATCAACGCATGATCAACCTAACGTCAACGTATCATCCACGTACCATCAACCTAGCATCAACGTATCAACAGCGCATGATCAATGTATCATCAGCGTATCATCCACGTCGCATCACCTTGCACGCAAGATACATGAACGTTATTGCACCCCCCACCCCACCCAACCGCAACAGTAGCATCAACGTCTCCTCAACGTAGCATCAAAGTATGATCAACGTAACATCAATGTAGCATCCACGTCGCATCAACTTGCACGCAAGAGACATGAATGATATTGCACCCCCCCACCCCACCCCACCCCAACAGTAGCATCAACATCTCCTCAACGTAGAATCAACGTATGATCAACGTAACATCAGCGCAGCATCCACGCCGCATCACCTTGCACACAAGAGACATGAACGTTATTGCAACTACCTGCCACCCCACCCCACCCCAAAAACCTCAAAAAAGCACGGCCTCTTAGAGGCGCCCATACCTAAAACGAGACCAGTGAGTATTATAAAATAGCCTCTGGAGAAGTATTATGAAATATTAGTTTTTTCAAATGGGTTCAATTGGACAAACCTTGCGGTGCCAGCATCCTGGGGTCATCAATTTGTGAGGATCCCACCCAAAAGTGCACTGAAAAAATGGCGTTGTAGGCGTAGGCTGGGATTTTGTGAATGCAAGGTCTGATTTGACCCATGGGATTTTGTAGAGCCCGAACTGACCTCTACTTTGCATGACGGCGCTCATGAATCGCTTTTCTGTGATTGTACAGAAACTTGGAGTTTTGGAGGGAGCAACAGGCAAGGGTTCAGTCCACACGGAGAGGTTAAGATGATTTAAGTTCACTCATTTTTTGAATCTTTGGAACTTCATACCGCGTGACCATGCCCTTTGATTGAATAAAACACCATAGCGGACAGGGACTGTGCTGCCTGTATCGTGCTTCCATGTGCTTTTTTCACTTTGTTAGTGTTGTCCCTTCACCTGCATGTTCCGGGTTGTGAGATTCTATGTCAGCCACTCCTCTCCTCCTTCTTGTCCTCCTCGCCGCGCCTGACCTCAACCGCAAAACCCGGATCAGAGTGGTGCCCGCCGGACCTGGATCACAAGCGCCTGGGTGAGATAGAATGCCACACTGAACGTGAGAAGACACAATAGCCACGTATGCCAGAAAGAATTCCAAAAGAGATGCCATAGCATGGCAGCCTTGAATTGTCAGAAGTTATGCCAGATAGACACATATGCCAGATAGCACGCCAAAAGATATGCCAGATAGAACGCGCGGGTCCGACTATGTCAGTTTATGCCAGAATATATTTGAAAATATTTGTTGGATTGTCAGAATAAATACCGGAAAAAAATTGCTAGACACAGATGCCAGACAGAATGCAAGAAGATATAGACGATAAAATGCTGACCTGAAAACCCTCGGGCACGCGCGGGCCCGCTCTCCCCGCGGAGGCCCGCGAGCCCGCGGGCCCGCGCGGGCCCGCGCAAGTCTTGGGCTATCAGGGGACCTATGTCGGACAGCTTGGCAGTTCAACGCCCAAGCTCAGTTGCTAGGCGTGTCATATCACCAAGCCAAACAACAGGTAACATTGAAATCTCTGCTACTATACAAGGTGCTGAAAAGGCGTCAAAGCAAAAGGGAGTCAGAGCTAAGAGTTCACTAAGCCTCTCAGAAGGAAACTGTCGAGCAAACAAAAGCATTTTCACATGAAAAGTGCCAGGGCGAATCCATCCAGTATCAGCCACATTCTGCAAAAGGGCGGCGATGGACTGACTGCCGTAATCACCCCTTTGGCCACGCCAGCCAGAAAACCGATCTAATTCCAAAGTGATAGCATAGCCTGGATCAGAAACATCACACGCAAAAACTTGTTGTCCGTGAAAAGACCCTTGTAAGCAGCGTTTCTCCCACAGGAAAGACTCAGTGGAAACTGGAAATATATTCGCGCCAGGTAGCCTGTCAACGGGCAATCCATGAGCAGCAAGCCAATCATGTTCCAAAGATTGCCATGCCAAGCGATCACGAGCTGTGGCGATATCGACCCCATGGTGATGAAGGTGGCGAAGAACATTTCTATGGCCACTGTTTTTGGGCCTGTTCGCTGGCGCCGCACAATTCCCCGTGATACCGAAGAATGCTGCAGCCCGAGCAAGGTTTGCCTTACTACATGATCTGCTGGAAAACGAAGCACGTGACCAACCCATTTCGACACCATACGCGCCAAAAGGAGATCCCAGCGTTCTGCATAGACCCAAGCCCACAACCTGACAGCATGTCTCAAGGCAGCAATGCATTGAACCACAAACCAAGAAGGATGGCGGCGAGCTCCAAGCATCCAGGCAAGCAAGGTGACATGGTGAACCCGCAATTTTCTCAAGTTGACTTGGTTCACGGAAGCAACACAGAGACTCCACCGCAGAGAAGCAGTGACCAACGAGTTGAACATGCGCACTCGACGGCCACGCGGCGCCGAAACATGAGTCAGCAATAATCTGTTGGCAAAGTACGCAGCGGTGGCCCGAGCACACAAGGAATCAACCATGTAGGCATCCCCTTCAACAAGCTGGAGCGGCATGCCCAAGTACTTGGAAGAAGTTTGAATGGGAAACGTGCCAAGCAGACCAGGCAAGGACCTAGAAACAAAAGCCCCGAGAATGCACGACTTGGAGACGTTGACAGACAGACCCAGAGCAGCCAACATGGCAAGCACTTCAGGCATCAAACGGCGCAGTTGCGGCACGGTGCGGAAAAGAAAGATGGAGTCATCAATAAACCACAAAGCCCACACAGCAAGAAGAGGGGTAACAAAGGCCGGAATTTCTCCACGGGAAGTCCATTGAGCGCTCAGTTGCTCGAAACGGCCGGCAAGAACACGACCAAATAAGGTGGGGCTGTGGCTGCCACCCTGCTGGGTCCCGCGACCTTGCAAACACCACCACACTGAATCAAAGAGCTGGAAGCGAAGGCGAGAATGCAACAGAATCTAACGCAGCAAAGTGGCACTCTTTGCCGAAGCACTAGCCCAATGATCAATCATGTACTGTAGGATGGAATTAATGTGCAGGTCAAAGGCACGCGATACATCAAGCTGGACGAGCACGGGGGGCTCAGCGAGACCAGCAGACTCCTGAACAGCATGCTTGACCAGGTAAATTGCTTCAGACACACCCTTGCCTCCTACACATCCAAAGCAAGAAGACGGCAATGGCCAAGAGGACACAACCCGAGCAGTTGCCAGCTTGGCAGCCAGTTTGGTAAAGACCTCACCACACACAATGGGGCGAAAGTCGGCTGCATCAGTAACCCAAGCCTTCTTTGGCAATAAAATGACCCACCCATCAGCCAGATCCAAATTTGCAGTGCCGGGGTCACGAAGAAAAGCATTGAGCAACTCAGTTAAAAGGTAAAGGCCAAAAGGAAGTCCAACAAGATGTTTGAGCAGCTCAGCACTAACCTTAGACATGCCAGTAGTCTTTCCAGCCTTCAGTGTGCCAACGGCACTGGCCACTTCTGCACAGGTGAAGTCAGGCTCCGTATCAGGTAAAAGCTGGAAAGAAAGTGGAGGACCATGTTGACGCCCAAAGCGTTCGTCAAAATGGGCCTTGACATGGGAGACAGCCGCTTCACGGCTGCCAAATCGAGTGGCCAACCCCTGGGCGACGAGGGAAGTTTGGTGAGCCTTGCGCTGCAAGAAACGACGGGCCCGCCAGTCCCCAGCAGAGGCAGCAGCAAGGACAGCTTCCAACGCTTCTTCTCTGCCTTGCGACAGACATGGATTTCAAAAGAAAGGCGTCGACGCTCGGCAGGGTCAGAGGGCAAGCTCCGGGCCCGACAAAGGGCACGGAGGCCGGGGGAATCCTGATACCGGAAAACAAGAGCCGGGGCACAACAGGTGGCAGCACAGTGAGAGAGGAAGCAGTGAGGATCTGGGCCGTTATTGCTAGAAGCAGCATCGAGGTAAGCATAAACTTGTTGCTGCAGCAGGAAGGGGTTGCAAACACGCATTTTACATGGGCGATCCAGGAAGGCAGCGCGACGAGCAGCACGGCCCACACGACCAACAGGCACGCCATGCACATGGGAAAGCAAAAGCTCATGCAGCAAGAGTCCATGATCCACGCCCAGTGCCCGCTGAGCCTCAGTGCAAACGGTGACAACAGCCCATGGACACACCAGGGGGTTCCCAATTCCACAGCATCGATCAACGACCAAGCGATTGCACACCACATAGTCCAAGCGGCGATGCCGCCACGTAGGGCACCGATCGGCGGAGAAGAAGGTAAGACCAAGAGCACGGAGGAACGCTTTCAAGGCAACACAGCGCTCACCAGCGTCAAGGGCAAGATCAACATTGAAATCCCCCAAAAGGATGAGCGGATGTCCCCGCCGCGCAAAAGGCGACAAGTCAGTTTCCAAGGTGGCCAGAGCAGCCATAAAGTCATCCATGGGGCGACCGCTGTGTGGCAAGCGCCACAGAGACAGCACAAAGCCTCTGAAAGAAGAAGGGAAGCTGAATGAGCGCACAAAGATGGGAATGCCCCACGCCACCAGAAAACCAAGTGGAGACACAGTCTTCATCGATAGCCAAGGACAAGGCGCGGAAACAGCCGGCTGGGCGCGCCGTAAGCAACATGTAGCCCTCATGCAAAGACAAGCTCACAGTCTGGGACATGTCATCCGAAGCAACACCACCAACCTCTTGTAAGGCCAACACATGCAAATCCATGCCGAAATCATGCAAGACATCAATTGCAGAGTCCGAAGTTTTACCTTGCAAATTCCATGCACCAAGTTATAACAAGCTGGTATTCAACCCATCACGGGGTGAAACAGGCTCACCCTCAGCAAAGTGTGATACCTCCCCTGGGTTCCCAGGCAGAGGTGAAACTGATGGCATCAGCATTCATGAGCGGGGGCTGGGGAACTGTAACCCCCACAAGCGAAGCAATTCAGGTTTGTTCACGCCAAGGCCCGTGGCCAGCCGGTCCATGTCCAACCACACATTCACACCGGTGGCTTCATCCCTCACCAACCAACGGAAGTCTTCAACAGCACAGGTGGGCTTGGTGCCATACTGGTGCTCTTCTGAAAGACCAGTCACCCGCTCGTCGCCGACAAAGGACTTTGCTGCCACCCAAGAAGAAGACACGTCAAGCACGCCACGTTCAAGATGCAATCTGTCGGACAGAAACTGGTTGAGCAGGGCAATGGCCTTGGAGACCTTTCTCTGGGCTGGTGTCTTGTCCGTGGTAATCCAAAGTTTACAGCCGCCGGGGGCCCTATCAGCACGGCGGAGCCGCTGGAGAATGTTGAGTTGGAAATCACGTTTTTCACGCAAACTCTTCCCTTCTTCAAACTTCAATTCAAGTTTGGCAAAGGTGGGCCGCTTTCCAACAACCCGAAGGTGGGAAACACAAGCTTTCACCCCTACATGATCAAGCAACTCTGAAAGCTGACTTTCAACCCATTCTCGCCTAGACCCTTCCTTCCAGCCTCCCAACACGATGTCAAGCGTTTCCGCTCCCTGGCCAGCAACGGCCAAGGATGGTGGAGGTGGGGCAGTCTTTGGGCTGGCCATTGCTTTTTGCAATTCAACAAGTTCCCCCTGCATGGTGTCCATCCTATGCGAATGTTCCAAGTCAAGGTTTTCCAGCAAGTCATGGTGAGATGCAACTGCCTGTTCAACTTTCTGCAGCCGCTCATTCTGGGCAGCGGTGGCATCAACCAAGGTTTGCACAGTCACATGCATGCTACCTAAGGAAGAGGCAGCAGACTCCTGGATAGTGGTTTGGATCTTGCTCAACAAGTGCCTTTCGTCAATCAGGGCCGGCTGCTCAGGACCCGTTTTGGAACGTTTGGATGGGCTGCCTGATTCTAGCGGCACAAGTGCACGGGAAAGGGCCCCTGGTTGGCCATCCTCATCATCATCATCGAGATGGATGGGACTTCGCTCCATGTCACTACAAGGCTCAAGGTCAAAATGAAAGTCTTACACCTGGTTTTGGGGATTGAGCCACAACACTGTAGCCATTTTGGTTTATATACCTATGTACTATGAATTTATATATATATATATAATTATAATAAATTATAATTAGGTTTATCATGGCTATGATGATTTGATGATGATCTGATGATGAAATCTATGGGATACTTGGATGATTTTAGATGTGTTCGTATAATAGTTTGATATGGAATTATATATGAGCTAATGACGATGATATATATATATATATAAATATATACACGATTGTATCATGCTGTAAGCTTAATCAGATCTAGTTTGATAATAAGTGGGATAGTTCAGCCATTATATGACGAGAATGGGATCATCCTCCGTATACCCGGAAAGTCAGTGACTCAACTGGAACACGGGTGATTCCGATGACTTCGTTCTGCCACGTGGATTTCACAGTGAACACAGTGAAATGCGGACGGACAGCCTGGCTGGCCTGGCTCAATTCCGAAACTTTCAGAAAACTCTTTCCACATCTGATCGTCTTGCAGTTGGGCCAGACCTGTGCAAACTTATACATGATCAATGATCAGAAACAGAGCAAAGCACGAAAGAAAACCACGAAAAATGGGAACAACTCACTACATCTGAGGTGCTCCTTGGTAAAGTGCCTTTCAAGTTTGGATGTCGAAAGGATGTGCCTCTCTGGCTGTCAATGTCACTAGGATCATCAGCAGACAGCATTGGGCATTGGTTAATCTTCAGCCACGAGACTTTCCCATCGTTCGAGCACTGCGCTGGCGGCTGGGAAACTTTGCAAACTTCTCACGGGAACACCTTTCCTTTCATAGACGCCTCATAGATCAGAGCTGCATCAAGCTGGAGATGGTGATACGGAAGCTACTGCATGATGTTACCAGATGCTAAAAGATGCTACACACTGTGTCATGTTGAAAACAAATCTCACGTCTTTGCCAAAGTCCAGATCCTATGAATTTTCGCACTCCGCTCAAGCGATCGATGAAACCGTGTCCTGCGAACAGGTCGATCATGAGCTCGTTCAGCAACATGCTTTGTTCCTCCTCGCCGAACCAAGCGTTTATGACACAAAATGATCACAATGACATCACAATACGATGAGGTTTCAATGGGTTTCATCAAAATGGCCTCATCTTCCTCCACCTTCAACTTGATGAAATCCTTTTGATAGACCCATTGAGATGCAAATGTTCCAGCGCTGGTGTTTTGCTCTCTGAAATCGATCTTGGCATCCATCTTGTCGATCATCGTAACCTTCCCAACGAGTCCTCCACGGGGGCATGTGGCAAAGTTGGCAAAGTTGGCAAAGTTGGCGTCAACAAATGGAGATAGTTTTCAACATGAAACACTCCAAGATTGGAATCCGAGCCAAATCTTTGGATTAAATTCTTGCGAAATCCAAAGATTGATACAGTTTCAATCCCAAAATCTCTGGGTCATCCTGATGTGAAAATTGCGAAACAACCCCGGAACCTCGGGGGCATCCAGGAGGGTATCCAAGCAACATTAAGATATACAGTATACACTAAGTCACTAAGATACACTGAGTAACATCCGAAGTAACATCCGAAGCAACATCCGAGGTATGCGAGGTCCTCGCTTCAGCTTCACGTTGCCCACGCTGAAGAAGTCTTCCACCACCAGCACCGACGCCCCGACTTTCAAGGCAGTGGCAGCCGAGCTGCTTGCGGCGCTGTCCACTTTGGCCGCGGAGCGGAGTTCCTGAAGCGGCAGCTCCTGACAGAATCCGGCGAATTGGGGTAGTGCTATATGATAGGCATTGATAGGCTATGTTAGTGTAAATGGATGTAAATGGATGTAAATGGTAATAAAACATGACATCAACAGCATTGTCGGCATATGTGCGCATATCTCGGCAGTGTGCTATTTTAGGAAACACCTATGTTCTGACTATGTGTATTATTTGTATTTTAATTATGTGTATATTTTGAGAGTAATCACATGGAGTGCTTTTTCCATCTCAGATCACTTTTCAAAACAAGGCGAGAAACACGCTTCAGTGTTTGTGATCTTTGTGCGTTCCTTGCATGAAACATCGATGGATTCTGCATCATTCTGCACTTTTGACATCAGCCCTTTTGGGTCCTGCAAAAGCACAAGCCTCTTCAAACGCAGGATCAGGAAATCGACGCCGTACCACTCCAAGCACTCCTTTCCGTACAAACCACGCATGGAGCATTCCTCCTGAAGAGCTTTGACGGAAAGTCGTTCCAAACGTTCCCAGTCAGAAAGGATTCGATTCCCGGCAGCTACGGCATGAACAGATCCGGATCGACCGAGTCGCTCAAGTGGCACCCCATGCTGCTGAAGCGTCTGTGCATCACGACACAATGAGGATGGATAGGCCAAGCCACTGCCACTACTGCCACCACTGCCAGTGCTCAATCGGATCAGGGCAGGATCTGACTGAAGATGTCGGGGTGCAAAGTACAAGGCTTGGCTGTTGGCTCTCACCGCAGCCTCCACAGGAGCAAAGTGTCACTATCACATCATGTGTTTTCCCATGTTTTTGTCCCATTAATCTATGATACCCATACGAATTGTTCTACAGTCGATGCTGCTCGAATGCCACTTTTGGATATTTAGTTTGTTCGGTTCCACGTTTCCTTCGAAGAGTTTTTGGGCCCTAACTGCTGCCGCAGGTAAAATTAACTTTCCACTTTCATGCAGCTTGCGTCTGGATGAGTCTAGCAAAGCACAACAGATTCCAAAACACCACTTTCATTCTAATCCAACATTTTTGGCAAGGTCAGGAATCGCTTGGGATCGTTCACAATTTATGTCTGGAGTCTTTGCTTGTGTCTGCGTCACTGCTCAAGACTCAAGCATTTTCATACATTTTCATACATTTTCAATGTCCATACGGTCCATACGGTCCATACGTATGAAATCAGCGTAACATGCTTGTTGCATCTTGTTGCATCCCAGGGTTTCATCATGAATTCATTGTTTCATCATAACTTGATGTTTCTCATCATGTTTCAACTGTGCCTCCACGAAGGACGCCGAGGCCCGCAGTTCGTTGGGCAAAAAGCTGAGCACCGCGGCGTTCTGCGCCACGCAGGACAAGCAGAAGCCCAAATTCATCAGCAGCACCTGATTTCTTCGCGCTGCCAGGTGCAGAAATTCTGCAGAAACAGGAAAAAATAAAAAAATAAAAAAACACCTTGGCAAAGTTCTTAAAGATGAACAAGACAAGTAATTACAATAAGTACAAGACAAGTTTTTTAGACAAGTACAAGACGTGTCATGTTCTTATACCACACTGAAACCTGGAAAAGAGATAAGAGTAGTTCAGAATACTTCGCACCTCTTCGGCATATTGAACTGCAGCTTCAAAATGGATAGAGGCACTCAAAACGAAGTTGCCATCAGCCGCCAGCAGAGAAAAAGCGAGAACTTGGGGCGAGAGCTTCAGAGCCTGCCACACCACGTCCTGATCTTTTCGAATCCGTTCAGATGCAAACTGGAACGAAGACGGAACAGACTTCGTGGCTTCCAACACCATGGCCACGTTGTCTTTGATGCTGGGCCCAGCATCATGCAGAACCGAGCCGTCCTTCCGCAACGCAGAAAGCACCAACCGGTGATCCTCCCGCAAGGCCGGCGAGGCCCAAGCTAGCGCCTTGGGGTCGTCTTCCAGCGCTGCGGAGACCAAGTTCTTATCTCCAGAAAATTCACCCAGAAATGCCAGAGACGATCCTCGCATCTCAACAACTTGGAAGGCAAAGTCGTAATCTGCCAGGAGCTCTGGGTGCTCTGCGGCCACCTTCTCAAGAGCAGTGTTGGTTGAAATCTCTGAACATCCCAACACTTTCAATACAAAGGACCTGTCCTTCCATAGCATGGAGTCCACATGATCTCGAGCCCCACTGTTCACTTGGAGTGCTTTCAGATTGAAGTCTGTGGACAGAACTAGGTCCTGAGAACAGAATTTCAAACATGCAGCGTTGAGTTCGATCAGAGATAGCAGGAACTTCTGGTTACTTCGCAGCTCTGCATCTGCATATTGCAAGCTCGAAGCTCTTCTGCATGACAAAGCTTTCACCAGTTCGGCATCTCTCCTGAAGTCCGAGTCTGCATACAAAAATGCTTCAGGAATCACTTCCACAGCTGAGCGCACAAAGTCTTTGTCCAAAAGCTCTGGAGCATTGCTGTGCAATTCGTTCAGCAGCTCAAGACTTAGGGCCCGGATGAGAATGTCCCGAGTGAAGGGCGCAGGCGGTGCAGGCGTTGCCGGCGTTGCCTGCGTCTGACGATGCACGGTGTGTGTGGCGCGAAGGCACGCCGTGAAGCACCGGGCGTTGCGCCGCAGGGCCCGCACCAGGAACTCCGAGGTCAACGACACTGTCGCAGTGCCATCGAGTCGGGGCAGCAGATTGGGATTTCGCCCCACGGCCTCCAACAGGAAGTTCTCATCACAGAGCGTTTCGGCAGAGTTCTGCAGCAGGAACTCCACGGCGGCGTCGTTTTTGCTGAGCACCGCAGCGGCGAAGCTTCGGTCCTTCCACAGATGGAGCGCCACGTGCTCCAAGGCCGAATCCGACGCGGCCGCCAGCAGCGCCACGTCCTTGTTGCCGCGTAACTCATCAGAGGCATATTCCAAAGCACTGCCGTCTTCACGCACCGCCGTTTCAACGATCTGTCGATCTCCTTGGAACTTCGGTGCACACGCCAAGGCATAGCCATTTGTTGAAACAGCTGCCAGGATGAATGAACGATCTCTCTTCAAGCTGTTGGCAGCAAATTCCAATGCAAACGCTCCCTTTTGAACAGCTGCCAGCACCACTTCACGATCAGCTCTCAGACCGTCAGCAGCCCATTCCAGTGCCAACCCATCCTTCTTTACCAACACCAGCACCACCTCGCGCCGTGGTGATCTCTCTGCAGGTGACCCGATCCCGTGGTAGCTTTTCAACAAACCACGATATCCACGATACATGAGAACTGCAAGAGTTTGAACTGAGATCGTTCCAATATGTTCAATCCTTTTTTCTGATATTTATTTCCCATCAGAAATAGCAAAAGTATCCATCCTTCTCCTCGTGTTTCCTCATATTTGCATATATTTGCCCCTTTCTCACTTTTGGCCAAAGGAAAGATCCACAAAAAGACCCATCACACCATATCACCATCCATCCACCATCCCACCATCATCCTACCCCCATCCTTTCCACCAACCATGACCTCGCGCTGGCCGCGCACCGCGGTTGGCGCGCAGCGCAGGAAGTCCCGCGCCGAGCCGCGAAGCTGCGAGGCGCGCTGGAGCCAGTCCTCCACGTCGATGTCGCCGTGGCCCATGACATGAGACACGTCTGAAATGGGTGAAATATGGTGAAATATGGATGAAATGGAGGCCCAAAATGACTGAAAAATCACCTGAAATCAAGATGTGATTCATAAAATTCATATGATGTGCTACTTGAGATGTGATATTCTGTGATATATGATGTCCGTATCTGTCCGTCAATTCCTTTATGATCTAAATAGATAGAGAAGTTGCACAACTGGAATTACGCACAAGATTGATGTGGTTTTCTCACAGGTTTTGGTTTGGGGGGTTCAGAAATGCCGTCACGTCGCCCGTGCTTTCATGAGCTTTGCTCTGGACTTTGCACCAAACCCTCCGGCAAAGTGCAAGAACGACCGAAACACAAGAGAAATAGGGTTCTGCTTGCGCACTGACAATGGCTTCAGCATTTCACATCACCGTCTGCAGCTTGAGGCAACATTACAAGACTCCGCAGGACGGCAAGACAAAGTGTGAAGAAACCGCTCCAAAACTGAACAGTGTTTGCGCATGTAATATAAATATGTAGTAAAAACACATACAATCACAACATGTAAAAGCACGCATTCAGGCAAAACAGATCAAAATAGGGCATAGCAAAAAGCAACCCAGCTGGCGACTTTTCAGCGTGAGCCCACGAGGCGGTTTAGATGTACATTCTGAGGCCGTGGAGACAGCCGTGAAACAATGAGAAATCTGAGAAAAGAGTGAGACTGGAATGACTCGAAGCGCTCCGTCACCGTATTGCTTGCAGAGTCGCCGACTCGCCCGGTCTGGGAAAGGAAACGCATGGAACACATATTCTCCGCAAGGCATGTCTCAAATGCGCTCCTGAACTCAATTCCCAAAGTCTTGTTACAGTCTTGTTGTGTGATGACTGTGATGTGGATTTATGTCGAAAATCATTTCACCATATTTCACAGGCGCTGTTCATGGCCAGACACGTGGCGCTTGCAAGCTCCGGAAAGCCGCTGAGCCGCTGAACCCCTCAGTTCCTTTGGTTCCTTTGGACCGCAGCACTGCAGCTTCCAGCATCCAGCTATTTCCATGTGCTGATCGTGCTGACAGCTGAATTAGCTTCACCGAGCCAACCACATTTCAATATGTTCAATTTGGATTTCACCATGTTTCAATCTGTTTCAACCAAAACCTCATGGAATTTGGATTAACTTGGCCATTGTATGCCATTGTGATGACCAGTGATGACAAGTGTAAGCAGCCTGACGGTTGATGATTCTGTGAGGTCGTGCTGTTCGCTCTGGTGAGCCTGCTATGCTGAGACTGTTTCTTCACCAAAGCTCAGTGTCGCTGCACCTGTGATAGTGAGCGCCACGCAATGCCATGCAATTCTGTGTGTCAACTCACACTCATAGACACTACATAGACACTACATAGACACTCTCTCACACTCAGCAGTTGACACGACACAATTGATACAGGTGCAAGTGACTCAGTGGCACGTTGTGTGGCACGTTTTGGTAAAATCTCGAGTCGGTCTCCTGCCTTCTGTCGAATGCCTGTTGAGTCTGTCTACTTCGACACGTCCACGCCCTTCTCCATCATTTTCACCTCAGCTGCACTCTGACCATCATGAACCATCCTGTGAAAGTCAGCAAGTCACCTCGCATAGTCGAATCGTGTCGAATCATGTCGAATCAAATCCGGTAATCTACCACAGGGGCATCTCCACCAAGAATGTTCTTGCTTTCATCCCATCAAGTCTGGAAATCCGTGACAACTATGATAACGATGAAATACTATGGGCATCTATGGAATATTACAAGTTTTCATCATCTTTTATCATCTTTCATCATCTCTCGGTTCCACCTTTGGAAATCTCCAAAAACGACCAAGTGAACGCAGTGAACGCAGCCGTCCAAGAGGCGAATTCGTCGAAGGAGATCTCGCCATCGCCATCCAGGTCCACTTCCGACACCATTGCCTTGATCGCCTGCAGAAACCGTGAGACAAATTCAATGTAAAAACACGTGCTGTTTAGCGGTTTTCAACAATCTTCAACCATCTTCAAATGTTTCATTCAATCTTCAACCCCCCAAAAAAAAACATGTTCGTCGCCTCGCCATCGGCTTGCTCCTTCAAAATGGCGGCCAGCTCCTGCTTGGTGATCCGTCCATCGCCGTCCTTGTCGAAGACCCTGAAAGCCGACCACAGCACTTCCTTCTTCAGGTACTGCTTCTGGCCTCCGGGGATACCACGGGGAGATCTCCATGAACAAAAATACACAATTAATTATACTAAATATATACACATAGAATATCATAGAATGATACCAGTATTATACATGGATGCATCCAAAATTGAAGTCTAACCAAATTATCGCATTTTTATGCGAATGAACCCTGGGATTCTCGGGGGCTCCACTTTCAATCACTACGGCACTACGGTGCCTACTGAACCCTCTGCCAAGACACTCAGAGTTGCGGCGATGAATTCCGTGTAGTCGATGTTTCCTGATCCATCGGTGTCCAAGTTCTTCCTCAGCGCCGCACAGCATCAACATGCATCAACTATGGCTGTGCGCCCTGCAGGGCTGTCGGAATCAGCAAAATGACATCCCTCATCCCTCTTTGCTGCTCAACTGCGGTCCGTGAGGTGCCCAAACAACTCATAGCATGTTGGCACATGGCTACACGACATAACTTGACACACCAGTACCAGCCCCATGTATGAGTTGCTCAAATCGATTCCCTGACAGAAACCTTCACGATCCTTCACGTGTTCAACCCACTCAAATATGTATGTATAATGTATATATCATTATCTATATATATATATATGCGTGTTTATATATACACTATCTCCCCGGCAAAGCCATCCATCAAGGCCCTCCGTGACATCATCGGCTCAGTGGCATGATTTCAATGAGATCCCCGGGAATCTCCACGGCGCTCTCTGCGATGCCCTTCTGGATCTCCTCGATGCTTAGGGTGCCGTCCTGCCAGGCCATTGGGCCATTGGGCCATTGGGCCATTGGACAGGGGAGCCACCCTGGCTCCATGGGGGGAAATGGTGAAATGTGCGGATGATTTCTTGTTTGATCTTGTTTCTGTTCGATTTCAATGTTGGAAAAAATGATGATCTGGGGGTACATTGGGATATATTGGGAGATATTGGGATGCCGGATCGGGATACCTGGGTATCGGGTGCGAAACTGGCATATCTCTGGATAAATGATCCTTAAGGCTATGTTGGGGCATCATCCAACAGATCCGTCCAACAGATCCGTTCAACAGATCCGTCCCAGATTTGTCGGCGGTGCGCCTTGTTCTTGTCGAGGACCAGAAAGGTGTTGCGCAGCTGCTCCAAATCTTCGTCCTTCAGCTGCTGGGCGATCAAGGTCAGGGCCACCTGACGACAACGCAGACTGCCCGGTGGCTTCCAGGATTAAAAAGTTTTGAAAAGGAACAATAAAACTGTTGAAATAAAAAAGAAAATACACTGACACAATCTGACATATCGGCATACATTTATCATTCAATACAGTAGGTGTTTTGCTACTCTTGAGCTTGAGTTCAAAATTTCAAAGGGCTAAGGTTTTCTGGTGACTGTCCAAGCTAGCGGTCAGTGACGGTCAGTGTCTTCGGTTGAAGAGTGTTAAAGAATTTCACTGTCTTTGTTCAGTGGTTTTGGTGTCAATAGGGCTCTCGTTGGCCTTGTGCCTTTACATTTCCTCATGCACTGGTTGAAACGGAGTGCAGCATGCAGCATGCTGCATACACACTGTGAACCACCCTACGGCTACAAGATCTGCCACTCTTTCATACTCTTTCCATCTCTTTCCGGGACGAACTTGACTATCATGCCTTCTTCATGCGGGATCCCTCATTGAACTTCTTGAGGTTCTTGCACCTGAGTATTCGTGTATCTGTTGATCAACTCAGATAGAGCAGCAAAACCAGATGCGAAAAAAGATGCCAAAAAGATCACTTTTGAAGATTCTGCTCTTTGCTTCAGGTTTCTCAGCCAAGTTGCAGGTCTTTTGGAGGTTTGCCCTTGGGAGCCTGTTCACGTGTGATCGACACAACGCGACACAGCAGTCTCTTCAGTCTTGATTTCTGCAGCTTCTTCTGCAGCTCAATGCTTTCTGACTTCCATCTTTTCCATGACATGTCACGTTTTGTGTTGCATCATTTCTGAATCGATTGAATCTATTTGCAATTTGAAATCCCCTAGTGCATCGCTTCCCGCCTCTGCGTTCTTGTCGAGCCACCGGTGCTCCAGCATCTGTGCTGCAGTTGGCCCTTAGCCAGGAACAGATGGACCACTAGTACAACTAGTACCATATGTACCATGTGAAGAAAGATTCGAAAGTTACCAGCAAGTAGCAAGTTAGCAAGTTAAGTTATGATACATGATGAGTTGGGATGAGTTGAGGTAACAGTTAGCTGAGTTAGCTTTCAGTTTGCTTTCCAGATCTTTCCAGATCTTTCCAGATTTTTCCAGATGTTGCCCGGTTCCGTTTCGTTGACTGATCGATGAGCGGCGCTTGGAGGCGTTGAAGGTGAGCATCAGCGAGATGCACTCCTTGGCGTCCGCCGTGATGTCCTCCCAGTCCTGCGCCGAGACGGCAGATGAGATCCTCACAGATTTCACAGATCTCAGAGATGCTGTGAATTTATCACAGATGAGAT